GCAGGTTTGGCAGACAATTAACCCGATTCATTAGTTCGCAGAGGCACATTTTTGGCCAGGTCTGGCTGAGTGAAGTCATCCAGTGAGCACGTTGCACACAGGGGGCAAGGGAAATGCGGGGAGTCTTTGCTGCGTGGCTCCTCGCTAGTTGTCCCTATGTGCCCGGCAGTGTTTTGGGGGCTGGTGCGCTGGCTCCCGCGGCTCTGCTCTGCCCTACTGCACTGGCCGGTCGCTGGGTCCGTCCTCTCGCTGGCTGCAAGGGCGCTGGGTCGCCCTGGGGCTTGGCCTTGAGCCTGTGGTGAGTCTGCTCGGTGAAACACCTCAGGACGCAGCAGGACGTGCGGAGCTCCTGGAAAGGCTGATCTGCATCTGCAACCTCTGGAGTCTCCGTGCCAGCTCAACTACTGCCTTCAATGGCCTGGCAATCACAGTGCTCGTAATAATAATAATAATGCCTCTGCTGTCCAAAAGGGCTTAAGTAAAGCTCAAGTAGATGAGGATGCCTGGTTGGACCTCCTTTCATGCACAGCGTAGATGTCCTTTAGGTGCCCATTAGCAAACTGAAACTCTCACACCGTCTTTGTTTTGAGATGCTCCTTAAGGTGGCTGTGGATGCCCTCGGATTCCATGACCGGGCATCCACCACCATTACTGGGCCCTTGGAAAGGCAGCTGAGCTTCGCAGTAGCTTCGTAGTAGTTCTAACGTTTGTATTAATCCATGCTGCTCCGGGACTCACTGAAGGCAGCCTAAGGTCACCGTTTCTGGCGCAGGTCTGAGGAGGAGGATGGAACCGGTTGGGTTTTGCACCAACAAGCAAACAATCAAACAAATAAAAAAGGGCTGTTATTTTTCTCCTTTTGGCTATTCTCCAAGGCTCCATGCTGAGGTCTGACACCAACCACCGCTGTGGGCGGTGAGACCAGGAAGGCGCGTGCATGAGAGCCATCCAAGCCGGTAATGACTGACCTTCTGCTCAACGGCCAATGGAAGACCCAGCGTCCGCCGAAGAGCTCCATCCGCAGCAGGGCCAGGCAGGTCGAGCAATGCTGTGACACGTCCTCCATGAACGCGGAAGAGAACAAGCAGAAAATGGCTAAAGATAAATACAGCAATTAGGGAAGCTTAATGGAGCAGAAGGATTTTGTGAGCAGACAAAGAAACCGCCGCATGGGCACCTGCGAGGAGGTCTGGGCTGTGCTGTCGGCTCAATCTTTGGCAACAGGTCCATGGCCAGGGCCAGTGACCTCTCTTGTTCCACACCACGCATCTCCACAGGGCTTGAGAAAACACCCCCTGGTTGCACTTCCCACCAGCATTTGGGATTGCTCTTATTATTTCTCCATTATGCTCAGAATGGGTAGCCTGTCACCGAGGCCTGTGGCAGACCTCCCCGGCTCCCCGCTGCTTCTTCCAGCTCGTGTAACTTGGCACATTGCTGGGAGCAGCATCTTCCCAGCGACCTGTCCCTCATGGGCCCTTCAGCCGCCACCGCCCGCCATGTCCCCCTCACAGAACGTGGTCTTCGAGAGCCAGGCCCTCGCCGTTAGCGCTGCGGAACTGGGGCTTGGTGTGCCCAAGACTTGTTTTCCTTCATGTCCCGAGCTCAGCTCTTCCAAAGCAAACTGCTCTTAAAAACGGACATAGACGAAGCGTTGCAGGAAAGCTCTCCATCTCCATATATACTTATAGAGGCGGGCATGGAGGCTTCTCATGCGTTCCTTTTAGGCAATAAAAGCTTTGTTTTGGAGCTAGGCTTCTACAGATCTTTCTGACAAAAGTAGTTCTTTTTGCAGCCTGAGGATCCATCACGTTGCTGCACACCTGATCTCCCAATTTGTCCATTTTGGGCCAGCCCCAAACTAGCTGCTCTCAGCCGTGACCCATGAACTGAAGATGGTGCAGAACAAGCCCTGTTGCACCGAGTGCGTGGTGGATGGCATCAGGTTTGCCATGAAAGGCAGTGGTGGTGCAAGAGCTGGTGCTCTCCTTACACCTTCTACAGCGCCTGGTCTAATACACGCAATGACTCTTGCAGTCCCGTTCGCTTCCTCCCACCAGCCCTCCCTGGCTCACAAAATCCACCCTGCATCAATGGCTGAAGGAATCTCTTGGTCAGAAGGCCAAAAGTGGAACAAAACCAGCACAAATTCCTTTTTAAAAAAAGATTAATGGTGGTAGAAATGCATAAAACCACCAGAAAACCCTTCTGTAATGGTGCTTTTGACCAGAAGAAGGCTCAGCTGAGGTAGCTCAGAGGAATAAGGCTGAATTAATTTTCTTCTGTGTCTAGGAAATAACACCATTCATCATGATGAGCTGTTTCCCAGGAAGGCGGATACGCAGCACAGCATCACTCCCTAGGAATTCCAGCACCGCTACTTGTGGCTCATGCCCTGAAGCAACAAGAGCAGCGCCGCTGCCTATAGAAAATGGCTGATCTGGCCCATCACTCCTCCTCTTGTAATGCTCTGGCTGCCACCACATCCATCAAGCGGGGCTCTTCTAGCCCTGATTTAATGCTTGATTTTTAAATGTCATGTGTTTCTGAGAGGGAGCACGGACACCCCCTTCTTTACACCCGCCCGCCCTGGGAAGAGGCAGCTACGCGCTCCCCTGGAGACCAGAGGGAGGCTCCTCTGTTGGGGTCGGTGTTGAGGCGGTGTCAGGCTACAGAACCTACAGGACCTGCTGGCCTGGGGGAGGATTACGATCCCCCAGAGCCAGCTTTCCTAATACCGAGACCTTTTCCCTTCCATCTTTCTCCATCGCTTTCTGCTTTTCACTTCCACCATGCGCTGCCCGTTCCTCCCATTCCAGCCGATGGAGCAGGTGCTGATTCTTAATGCTTATTTCACTTTAAACCTCCTTTCATCAGATGAAGGACCCTTCTATTTATTTTTTTTACGCTCGGGAGCTCAGTCACACACAAAGGTGAAACCAGAAGCTGCGACACGGTGTTAAAACGCAGCCGCCCGCCAAGGGACGAGGGGGCCCCCAGCCCGCGCGCGAGCACTTCGGAGCAAAGGATAACGCACGGGGAGGATGTCGCTTCGGCTCCCGGAGCGACGCCGGCATCACCGCTCCTCCAAGCGAGCCGCTGCACAGGGCACTGCTCCCTCTGCGTCCGTCCGTCTGTGCATCCATCCGTCCTCTGCACCGGAGCAGGGCCCCCAGCGCTGACGCCCCAAATCCGCATCCCGCTGCGGCCCCCTCGGACCAGCGCGCCGTCGATAAACCATTAGCCTCCGAGCCACCAGGGCCGGCTGTAACACACAAACACTCGACTCCCTTTTTCATCCAAAATCAATGTTGTATTTATCTTCATTGATCTACAAGGAAACTGAATGTTTAAAATTACAGGGGGTGCAGGGGGGAGGACGGGGAGGGGGGGAACAAGAGTTACAGAGCCAAGAAAATAGTAGCGGATGGCTGAATTAACTAGAGAGAAAAAGCCCAGGATATATAAAACATGGACACTGAAAAATAAAATAAGGGAGGGGGGATGGTACAGCAAGTAAAACATGGCAAAATTTACATATGGATGAAAAGTAAAATCGGAAATAAAAAATAAATCATGCCAAAAAGCAGTTCAAGGCAGAACCACACTGAAACAAACATTTGCTTATGGTCTTCATGTACTATAGATAATATATCAGAATTTCTTTTTTTTTTTAATCAACCATTAGACTTTTTTTTTTGCACTCCTAAAATTCTACTTTGTCTTGTATACAGATTCCAATAAGAACACTGCACAATTAGCACAAGGGGTCCACGGAAAATTGTCCTTGCTTGCCAGCGATCCTGCCCACAACACAAAAAAAGAGAAAAAAAAAGGAAAAAAAAATAAGGAAAGGGTCTGCCGCATGGTACTGTGCCAGTTCCATCTGCTTTTGCCAGCTTGAAGAGTAGGAAACCAAAATTCCCTTCCAGGAGCGTGTGTCTCTTTCCTTGACGAACTGTCCCTTGTGTTGTACAAAAAAATTCAGTCTCTCTTATCTTTTTTGTTAAACACAAGCATCCTTCTTCCTGTTCACTTGCCGTTTCCATTCTGTCTCCATCGTTGCGAGTTGGTTGTTTTTTGGGTTGTTTTTTTTTTTAAACCTTCCTCCCCCCAACATCCACTAAGACCTGCCTCCGAGTTCTTGCATAGTTGAAGTATATATGCCGTACTTAGCTTTCTGAGTGTGATTTTCTGACTGTGACAAGAGTATGAGTTGTAACCATGTTAACAAATAACCAGAGTGGTTCTAGAAACCATTTTTATAAAGTCTACCTATGTTAAGAATTTAATATTGGTGTACATTTATATTAACAGAATATTTACAGTTTGTTTTCTTTGTTTTTTTTGTTTAAAACAAGAAGTCAAAAAAAATTCCTCTTAAATTTCTGCATAATATAATAAGGCAAAAAACAAACAGTTTTGTACATTATTATTATTATTAATATTTTAATATATATCTGTAACTTCGGTTCCAAAGTACCAAGGTAAGTGATCAATTGGCCTCAGAAGGGAACCTCACAGTGGACTGTAAAACTACAGTATTTCCATAAATAATACTTTTAAGAAACCCTGGGTATTTTTTCTTAAGGATCTGAGGCCTTTTAAATGCAAATTTAACTAAAAACAAAAACAAAATTTCTTCTTTTTTAAGTGAATAAAGAGCACAAAATTAAAAAAAATACAAATCCATTAAAAATGTTTCTCACATTTGGGAAAAAATGTACAAACTTGATATTTTTAACTCATCTTTTTTTTTTTAAGCACAGAAACAAAAAAACAAAACCAAAAAATCAATACCTATATATTAAATTCCCATTCTCAGCAACCTTCTTGTTGGAAAGTCTGCATCCCTGACCCCATTATTTATGGAAATGTGCTTAACTTCTACAAATTTTACATTAAAAAAAAAGTTTACAGCAGTGCATTTTGTAAAAGGTTTTTTTTTGTGTTTTTTTTTCTGTTTGTTTTTTTTTGTTGTTGTTTTGTTTGTTGGTTGGTTTTATGTACAGGCGAGTTTAAAATTCAATGCTGGGGACTATCGTGCCTCTACTTCTTTGGGGTTCCTAGAGGGGGAATAGTCCCTGGCCTCTGAGTTTGTGAGTGGAGTAGTCCTGCGTGGGGAGGCAGGTCTGGTGCTGCTCGCTGGTACGAGAGGCGGCGGGGCGCTCAGCGCGGCGGTCGGCGGGTTCCTGTTTAAGATCCCGTTGTGCATGGCAGTGGATGGACTCAGTCTGGGGTAATGCATCCCGCTTAAATGAGGCATGAAGGATGGCACGTGTGCCAGGTGACTTTCGATGGGGGACGAGTGCAAGTGGTGCATTCTGGCACGCTCAAGTTCTTCCCGTAAGTGCAAGCGCTCTCTCTCCTCCACTTGCCGCAACCGCTCCTGCTCCCGGCGGGCTTCGAGAAGGTTTTCGTGGTTATAGTCGTGTGGCTCCCTGTCTCTGTACGAACGCTCATGGTCATAAAACCCAGAGGTGGTAGGGAACCTATGGATAGGATCCGTCCGGAGCTGGAAGTCCATTCGACGGTGCAGGTCTAAGCTCCGGTAGGCATCTCGCAATGGGTCCCTCATTGGATCCCAAGAAAATCCAGGGTGCGGCAGCCTCTCTCTTCCCGACAAGGGATTCATGCCTATGAGCGGGGTCATCATTCTGCTGCGGTCCAGCACATTCATGTTGTTCATCTGGTGAACGCTGCCCATGGAGATGGGCATAGAGGCAGCCATCGAGTGAGGCAATGATAATCCATGCAAAGTAGGTGGTGGGGGATGCTCCACTGATCGGGAGTGCTGGGAAGGTTCAGACCCTACCACCAGTACATCACTGTCTTCCTTCCTCTCCTCTTTGACTTTGATGTCGTTCTTAATCTTCTGGAGGTCGCTGGGAAGCTCTGTCTTTCTCTCCATTTCCTTGTTCATTAGATTGGTAAGCTTCAAGCTCTCGCTTAGTGCAGGTTTGCTGTATGGGGATACAGACTGGATTACTGGCTTCGTGTTGTCCTCAGAGGGTCTCTTATCATGGCTTGGAGTTTCCTTCACTGGCGAACGGCTCTCCTTGATCTTGTGTTCTGCTATGGGTGGCTCTCTCAGCCGGTCAGGGTGCTCTCTCTCTGGTTCTTTGGACCTCTCCCTGTCACCAAGGCTAACCTGCCTGAGGGGATCGCTGGAAGTTTGGCTGTTGCTGCGGATGAGATTGCTTATCTGATGCGTCACTGGAGCTGATGCCGGTGAGGATCTGTTTGAATGTCTGTTTTTATCCAAGAGGTCTCTGCATAAAGACAGAAAATACTTTCTTGTTTGGTGGGAATAAACATGCATGCAATGCTGCATATGCAGAACACAGACTGCTCTGACAATAGTTCGAAAGGCTCTACTAGCATCAGCTATAGCTGCGATGATACATTAAAGAAATGCCTTTAAGGTTCTGAAAAAATGTTAAATGTCCACAAGATCAGGAATAAATTTGGGATACACATGAAAGAACAGTGCATTCTCACCTCTGGAGAAAGACCAGCTCAGTGAGAAATGTAGGGCAAGGAGGAGAGTTTAAAAAAGATGATTTGGGGGTACTTGACACGTATCTGTTCTGCTGCCAATGGTTTTCTTGGCTGTAACATTCTCAACCCAGGCTCCTTTCCTAAAGCAGACTTCAGTTACTGCTGCCTGGGTGTGACATGGGTGCAGGCACACAAATCAGAATGGTTCTGGAAGCCGACAGAAACGTATGCAGGTCTGTGAGACAGCCTCACCGTTTGTTACGGTCAGTTTGGGCAGCTCAGCCAGATGCAGAAGAAAGAAAATCCCTGACCAGGCCATAGAGCTGAGTGACTGGTCTTTGTTTCAAGAGGGCCTGCCCTGAGGAACAAGGGCTTTGAGCACAATGTCCATTGTTTACATGATAGGCATGAAATGAGTGTGAGTTTCTAACTGCACCCCTATCTGTGGGCAAGGCTATTAGACTCAGTTACTCCCACCTCCTTCAACGGGGAACAAATAACACTGTTTAAAAGCACTTTGCAAGCTCTTAAATTAAGAGATACTTTAAATCATACTTTGCAGATTGAGAGAACTGTATTATTCAGCTGAGAAACTCTTTGATATTCAAGTTTTATGATGGGTTTTCTTTTGTGAGCCAAAATACCATAGTGCTGAAAAACAGAAGTGCTTTGGGGAGTTTTATGAGTATTTATCCCTTACAATCACATCTACCAACACAGAGTTCTTTCACGGTGGAAGTCCTGACTGTTGGTAATTCGTTAAAGCCACGTCTAAATAGGAATGCTGGGGACAGTTTAAGCTGAATTAATAAATATGTAATAGAGATGTAAACCCCAGCATGAACACTCGTGAGAGTGAAATAGCCTAGATTTGCAAATCAATTAAGCTAAAGCCAACAAGTGAACTTCCTATCCAAATGACTACCCATACTAAGGTATCATATAATTTAACATTTACAGAAAGAATTTTTGGTCTATTGCTTCTATGTCTTATAGTTCACAGGCATGGCCCAAATAGCTCATTAAAACACTCTAGGCAAACTATGAAATGCCCATCACTAGTCAAACACCCACATTTAAGTCTTGCAGGCTGTTATTGCCTACAAAGAGGTACCCTGTTGGAGACAACCAGATTCCGAAATATAAAGAGCTTGAAAATCATATAGCTGGAAGCTAATGAAGTACCTATAGCCCAGGTGATACAGTTCTGCCATCAGTAATAAGGGCTTGTCTGCACTTACACTTTTGAAATCAAGTTCATCAATGGATTCATGCACACTGATGCAGACAGAGGAATTTGCATTTTTACCTCATTATTGTCCAGCTAACATTTGATTTCATAAGAGTATCTGTGCCTTACTGGGAATGGTGAGTGTCTGCAAAGGACCCGTCACAATTCCACCTTCACAATTTTGCAATATTTGGCACTCCTGAAGGAGGCTGCTGAGAACATTCAAGTACACCCTGAAAACTTAGTGACAAGCTCATTTCCTTGGCCTGCTGCTTTTCCTCAGCTTATTAGCAGGGACTGAAGCACAGGCTTACAATATTCCCAGAGAGGATGAATTCTGAAAGGCAGAGATTTGCTTTTGTTACTAATACCTGGGCTTATTTGAGGGACATGCGTACCTGCTACTTCAAAGAGAAACAGTGCTTTTCTTTGAAGATGATTTCAGTATCAGAACTGAAGGTGAAAGCAAAGTTGGGAAATATACAGAGGAAAAAGAGGTCTGGAAGAAGCTGCTTGGCACACACGGCACTTACCGTTCTTTGTCTCTGTCATCTTTACCCAGAGAAAGATCCCTCTTCTCAGGCTCGCGCTCCCGCTCTCTGTCTCTGTCATGGTTTGTCACTGAGGAGCTCCGCTCCGAATCTGTCGGCTTGGGCCACTGTGGTGGTGTTGGGAAGGATGGTGGGGTCCGATGGAGTCTATTCCATGGCTCATGGGGATTATTAAAATTCTGCAGGTTTGGGCCATCTTTGTGGGTAAAAATGTTGTTGTGAGCTAGAATAACAGGGGGAGGAGGAAGCATTAAAAATAGTTCAAACCACACAATTCCATTTAAATTTTGCACTACGCTAATTACAACCAGAACTGCCCTTTTGAGACGTTAAGATGAAGCTAATGGTGTGGGGGAGCTACTAGCAGGTGGGAAGAGACACCTCCAACACTGGCTGAAAGATCCACCAGCTCTTTTTAAGACTACTCGCGGAGGAAGCTTTAACTACACATCCATATAACTCAAGAGATGACCAAAAACACCCAGCTTCTCTTGTCCCCCCACCCCAACAAGGGTTCCAGCACAAAAGCAATGCTCTTCCTCAACTCCCCTCACTGGCAGAAACTTCAGCAGTTGTAGGTTGAGGCTGAAACAATCAGCTGCCTGCAGCTGAGCTTTCAGGGACGTTTTTGTTACAGAAATCAGACCATTTGGTGGTATGAATGTATGTGTGTGTGTTATATAAAAAGCAGAGCTTGGCTGTAGGCTTTTTAGAACAGTCACTTGATTTTCCTCCATTAGTTTTCAACTGATTCCTGTTGCACCACGGGATGCAAAAGCATGCTCTCTGACTTGTGGCTCTCAAGCATGCCTTGCCTACAAGTAACGTGTTTTTAAAGTAAATCATTTTAGACAGGTAATTTAAACTTCAGACAATGGTTACAGAGAACATCTACACAGTGATTTAGGAGAAATATCAATAGCTGTTCCACTGTGTATCTTTGCTGTTGAAGGCTGCTACTTTCCATGCACGTAGGGTAGCAGAGCGCAGAGTCCTCCAGCTCTAGCACCTCTAGGAACACACAAGGTAACACTCTTCAGCAGTGAAGAGACACTGAGCACGGCTATCGATACGTGTGACGTGCAGAAAAGCTCCCACCGCAGAGACCTGGAAATCTTAGGTGCAGTGTTTTCAGATAGCAGAATGGAGGTTAGGAAACAAACTTCTTTAAAAACTACCACCAGCTGCTGTAAATATTAGCATGTGGCTTTTCTGGAAGGGATGTTTGTCTGCAGTAACCCAGCCAGTACTTACTCAGAGCATGACTGCCTAATCCTCCAAAGGCATTGCTGCCTAAGTTCCCAAGGCCGCTGAAGGTGCTTGACCTGCTAAATGGATCTGGAAAGGCAAACAGGGATTTAGCAGGCATTTAGCCAAGAATGTTGGAGAATGAAACGCACCCCTCCCCTTCTTAACAGTCTGAATCCAAGTAGGATTAGGCCAGACTTTAAGCTGATCCTTCTCATTGCAAGGTTCTTTGCACAGAAAATTCCCAGCATGTTAAAATGGAGAAGGGATTCAGTGCTCACTCTGCAAACAGGTGCCGTAATAAACTTTTGTATGCCAGTCAGAGGGGAGCTAGAAATTAAGGCCTAATAGCTGAAATTAGGGTGGCTGCTGCTGAACTATAACTCTCATTCCTCATCAGGAGTAGTAATAGTAGAAGCATTGCAATTGCCTTGAACAAACCACCTCAGCAGGGTCCTTGGTCAGCACGCTGAGGGAATATATCGTTTCACTGTTGTTTTTGTGTACAACTTTTTGCCCTCTGTATAATGGTGGGTCAAGACAGTCCAAAAGTAATTGCTATGGACATACATCATAGAAACACCAACTAGCCTGTGGGCCTATTTGTGCTGAAATCTTCTCCCACAAGAGCTTATGGTGGAGGAAATGATAGCTTATCATTTAGGTGGAGGAAATGATACTGTGGTCTTAGTTGCTACGACAAGGAGATGGGAGGCCTGTATCCTCTGAGGCAGACTATGATCTTAGCCTTTCTAGTTGAGCAACCAACTATTTGGCTTATGCTAACTGCCTTATTATAAGTTTTGCCTTTTTATTTTTTTTTCTTATAGGCATCATCATCAGAACAGGTTCCACTCTGAGCAGATATAGCCTGACTCAGGTATCCATACTGCAGAGATGGTTATTCATTAAAATATACCAGCATACTCAGATTTCTTTTCCTAGCAGTGATCAGTGAACAGCTTCCCATTCTGCTTTTTGATTGTCCCTTTAAAATCTTTAACTTGTCCTGTAAGCAACAGGAGGTGAAGCACTCTCTGCTTCCTCACAGATATTCTTGTATTAAAGATATCAAGGCAAATAATGCAAATCACTTGCATTTTTAAGGAAACAGCTATTTGTTTATTTATTTTTAAATAGTTGTTGTTGCCTCTCCACTTTGATAGAAGGTAGTTGAGTGACTCTGTAGAGGTACAGTTGATTTTGACTGAATGTTCAGGAATTGATGTAAACATGGGTACTTGCAACAGAAAAAAGAGTCTATTGGGTCACATGGCATGTTCCATTTACTGATTGGATGAATGTTACTAAAACATTAATCAACAGAGCTTGAACTTTAATTGGCAATGAGCTGCTTGTGAGCTTTGAGAATGAGGAAATTTGAGAAAATCAGGCTCTGCTGACTGCCAATTAGGAAACAGAAAGACAGGCAAAATGTGCAGAATAGCTATTTGCCAGAAACTGTTCACTGAAGCTGAAAAAAGAACTTAGCCAAGAACTTATCCAGGTGAAAAAAGGTATGGGAGGAGCCCATTTAAAACCATGGTACCTTTGAAATAAAATTTCCACTGTTTCCCTGGGCAGCAGAGAAGAGCTCTACACTTAAGATTACTGCTTTTGTGAAGTCTCCCACTGGTGATGGACTTGCCCCTTCTGCATGGCCCTCTCTCCTAGCAGCAAAGGAGTTTCCCAGTTCTGCTGCATGCCCTTGGGATGTGGAGATCAGCGGGTGTGCTGGGAAAGGTGGCGTGGATGGGAGAGCTTCCTAGTTAGCTGCTGGATCCTGAGACAGTTTAAGCCTTTCTTCTGCTGGAGCTAGAGTGCCTCGGGCAGAACCGAGCCAGAGAACAGGGAAGGGAGCAGAGGAATAAAGGTGAAAGCAGCATTTACTTACACTTACCTGCCAAGTGGTTAGTAGGCAGGAAACTGCTGTGATGAGGTGAAGGACCAAACGGGGTGGTGGCTGGATGTGTCGCACCTGTGAGAACAAGTGCCCTTGTTAGTCCAGTCGCAGGTTAACTGGCTGATACAGAGATCTGATCAGCAAATTCAAGAAGTGGATATAAAAGATAGCAGAGGACAGGGAAAACCCCAGCCCTAGCTCAGTGAGCTACAGGTACAATTTCTCTAAACGCTCTTTAAAGCAGTTTGTCAGGGCTGGGGGGCAGGAGACCTTGCACTGAATGTTGCCACTCACCTGTACTAATGAGGAAGTTAATCTCTTTGTTTGGCATTATCATTCATTACTCCGTGTTTACAAGGAAAAGGGTCACTCTAGGTTATGGGCCCAGACAGACAGTGCTATGAAGTGACTGATTAGAGCAGTTAATGACAGACACACAGGGAGCATCAATCATGCCTCTCCCGTGAGATCTCCATCAACACTCACATCTGTCTCTGCATCCACAGACTCCCTCGTGTTTTTACTTCTTTCCCAGACACTGCTCATTGCCATGGTATCACATCATCTTGCTGGGAATTAACATCACTGCTTAACACATTGAATTGCATTAGGTTGAGACAAAGGGAAAGAATGGGCTGAAACAAGCGACTTTGTCCTGTATTTCAGGATGACCAGGTTCATGCTCAGATGGGCTTCAGAAGGGAAAACCAGTGCAGAAAATGGGAGTCGCTTCCCCTGAGGGCAGACACACGTCTGACTGCAGAGGCTGGTAAACACATCCCGGGAAAAGCACTAGTGTCACCCTTGCAGGGACACAGGGGGTTTGGAGGAAGACTGACTCACACAGCCCTTGCACATGAGAGTGAGGCTGAGGAACATCTAGCTGTGGTTGGGTCTGGCACCGTGCATTAAGAGCAGTCCAGACACTTTCAGGATGCACCTGAAGACGAGTTCTGAAGATGTATGTTTTGGATGTATGCACCAAAATGTTTCTGTGGCTCCAGTATTCCACTGACTAGACAGACTGCAAATGTCTGGAATGCAAATGTCCTTCTGAGGCCTTCTCCATGCTAATGTTTCTGCTGCTGCAAACAAAGCAGAATTACCAACAACCATAACTTTTGGATGCTGCCTTAATGTAACTGCAACTTCTTATTCCTGTGCAGAAAGCAAGATCTGCCACACACACAGATTAAACAAGCTGTCCCATTTTGTTAGAAACTAGTAATACCAGGCAATGACAGAGGCAGCACTTTCCTGAAGACAGGCTAAGTCATGCGAAAAATAGACCAAAACCTAAATAAAGCCTTTGGATGTCACTTTTCAATGCTCTTCTCCTTGCATACTTGGAAAATGTATTTTGTTGTAAAAAGGTTAACTGTTCTTGTGACTGGGGAAGAACAGGAGCAAAAAGCAGCAGCCCCGCAGGGCACGAAGCGGCTCCAGGCCCGCTCCAGCTCACTGCAGGGGCAATGGCTTCTGTGGCCATGATTTGTGGGGGAAGGAAATGTTTCCCCCTTCAAATCCACACCTGGCTCTGTTCACAAGGCAAAATCACCAGCCCTAGCACAAGTAGGACACCCGAGAGATGTAGTACAATATAAGGTCACAGCCAAAGCAGAGGGAACAGAGGGAAGAAATCAATGTACACAGGAGGAACAGCAACCAAACACAGCTCATTCCCTCCTCTTTGAGATAAGCAGGATTTTGCCCAAGCTGGGGTTGGCTCTGGTTACAGGGCTCAGTAACAGGAGGTCACTGCAAAATGTCCTGATGTGCCCAGAATGCAAACAGACCATAAAGCAGGAGAGGGAGAGAGCCACAAGTCCCTCACCAACTCGGGCACCACAAACCTAAGTAGCCAGAAAATGAGTTAAGGAAACTTAAGAGCAACTACAGCAACGAAACCTCGAGTTATCTATAAACATTCTGACGGCTCCAAAGCTCCAAGACGGATGGAGACTGTCATCTTTCTAATCCTTTAAGATTTCAGAAGGTGTATAATGGATGGGAGATTTCTTTAAAGGAGACGGCTTACAAACTCAACTACACAGGCCGATAATAAAAAATCCTCTGGAGAAAGCCAGCAGCAGCATTGCAGGCTGTCAGGTAGTTATTAAATATAGCGTCTGCCAGGCAGCTCAACATCCGTCCTGAAGACAGGTGGCCCTAAGATAACTTATGTCTCCCACAGTAACTAGGCAGTGCAGCAGAACCAATGAGTCACATCAACCACGAGCTTGTTCGATAAGGTGAAAAGAATGCCTCAGATATTGCAGAGTGCAAGATTTATTCATCTGTGTGTTACTGCTGCAATGTTTGTTCACTTTGATAGCACTCTTTACCTAGATTTACTGTGTGATGGCTCTTGTGATTAATATACTCACAGGCCAGTTGCTGTAAGGATATCTATCTGCAGCAAAGGCAAAATTTTCTATTGATTTGCCTTCTTTAACCAACCTATCTCATATTCTTTCCCCTCTTGCTTTTATGAGCAGAGAAGCAGACCCTGTTTGCATCTTCAAAAGAGAAAAAGTTCAAGATACCACCTGGACTGGTGCTAGATTCAACAGCCTGTTTTTACCTCTTATGGTATGCAATGTTCAATAGTAAAACCACACGTGAAACAAGACTCTTGTAATGAGAACACAGGACAGACCAAAACAGTGGAAGCAAACAGCTGCAGTAGGGTGGCCCCTACCATCTAAGTGTCTTCACAGGCACAAAAATACAGGGCAGCATCCTACAATACACACATATTATCACATATTATCAATACCAGCTATCTATGGTGGAAACTTCCACCTATGTTTAAGAATTTCCATCTATAGATAAGGACTGAAACACGGACTGGATCAATAGTGGAGTTCCTGAAGGCGATCTGATACCTGCACTTCAGTCTCAGATCTCACCAAGGTTTCAGCTTGATTCTAATCTGTCAGTTTTCTGTGACGTTTGAGACAAAAATTGTAACACTTCTATCTAACCTCAGTCATTTCAGCAGCATTGAATCAAGGCTGAACGTGACCGTGTCTACAGTCTGAGTTTGAATGAGAAAGCAGTAATTATTTCCTCAATATACTGGAAAGCAATTGATCAATGTAAATCGTAGTTCTTTTTTTTTAATTCAATATGACATTTTAAGCTTTAGAGGTGTGAAACATAGGGGGATTTTACATTTAGAAAACAGCTTTCACAAATACATTTTCTGTGATATTTGTCAACATTTGTTGACTTTTTTTTTTTTGCAATAACCCACACTTTCAGAAAACAGAAATGTGGTGGGTGGAGGAGCTGAGAACAACAACATGGCAAATATAAAGGAAAGAAAGAAGCCAGTGCCATTTTCAATTCTGTGCAATGGAAACATTTTGAAGCTTTTTGTCAAAATTGCTTTATAGAATCACTCTACAGCCTATTAGCCAGGCACATAAAGACCAGCTGCACAGACACACTGTGGAGGATCAGTGACACTCAGAGGAATCTGCATTAGAGGCGGCGGACAGAGCAGAGCCCAGGGCTCCTCTCTTTTAGCAGTCCAGTTCAGATGAGTTCCTAGTGCTTCAACATTCCTGTGTAGCAATCTTGACTCCTTCAATTACACAGCTGCAGAGACACACACTTAATACACTGGCTGTTTTCTGTGACAAATGCTGATCCTCCCTTACCTGTGGTTGAAAACAGCGGCCTGGCGAGATCCTGTGGATAATGGAAGCCTGGAAACACCCCAGGGGCGGGAGGTCTGCTGAACAGGTCGAGTTTACCACCTATCTCTAGCTTGTGGGGATCCAGCTGCATTTGCTGTCAAATGATACAAAAGCAATCTCATTATAGATTTCCCTCTTCTTTTTTTTTTTTCTTTTATGGGAGAAAAAGAGAGAGTTCAGGCTCACTCCTGCTTAGTACTGCCAGGGAGAGTTAGTAAGAGTGACAGCAGTGCCTCTGCTCACGTAGCACCGCCAGGCTCTGACAGCATCTCTCAGGCCACTTAGCTCCAGAGCCTCTCAGCTGCCTGCCTCATGCACATGGATGAGGCCTGAGGAGAGCCCGCAGCCGCTCGCGCGCCCCATGCAACGCGACGCGCCGAGCGCGCTGCGCCCCGGCAGCCTCCGCCTGACAACAACATTCTGCAGGCTGAACGCTGCCGACAGCAGCCTGGAGAGCTGGATGAAGGACTCGTCTGTTTTGCTACTCCGATTTGGAACGAGATCTTCCTAGGCTATGCCCTTCCTATACCTAGTGTGGCTCAGGATGAAGACGGGGGAGAAGAATGAAGAAAACTGACTTCGAGTCTCCTCCAGAGGCTATTTTTATCCTGCCCCTGAAGAAGCCCGCGCTGTCAGACTGAGGAACTGGGCCTAAGTTGACAAGGTAAAAGTCTCTTGATAAGTATGCAGCTTAAAGATGATACATTTGATTATTAAAAAAAACAACATGCACTAATTGTAGTGTACTTAAACAAAAAGTGTTCTTTAGTAAAGCAACAAAAAATTATAGCAGGAACTCTGAAAAAAAATCACTGTGGAAGTCATGTTATCTGCACTTCTGCCTAGCACAGGGAGCCTTGAGCCTATACCAGCATGTGGTGTCCCTACACCTTGTTACTTCTTGAGTTTTAAATCCCCTCCCTCTGCCGCCCATCAGGACTGCAATGCAGCAAACCCAACACCCTCTGACACAGTAACTATCACTCTACTCGCCTGCTCCATGTTTTGTAAAATGCTCTTCACCATATGGGTCATTGCATTCTGAATAGGATACTACTCCATATTGCACAGAAGGTACTAATACCAAAGGGAAATGACACTAAACATGTACGCTTTGTAAAGAGCTGGATTTGGGGCAAAATTACCCTCCCCTCCCTTTCTTCTCTTCCTCTGGCTGCATACTTAATATCTATGCTCATTTTGCTCCCCTTCAACACAACTCCTTGGCCCTCCTATAAATTTTACAGTTGCTACAATAATTATTTAGAGACTGAAAGTGCTAGTTATAGCGCTTCAGAATCACCACCAGTGACTGATTTCCGCTCATTAGTCTCTAATATATAACCTGCAAGCCAAAAGACTTGGCTTTGTTCCATAAACGTACCTTTATCTTTTGCTGGTGATGGTAGATCTGCCAGGCAATCTGTACATGAACCGCACACCACTTTCCGGGTTTCTGTAATGGAAAACACAGGAATTCAGATTAATTGATATGCAATTCAGATTAATTGATATAGTCATAATCTACATCAGATAGACTGTCCCATTTCCCTTACTGTTGAACAGATAGTTAAGCAATGAGAACAGCTGATTACTAAAATGGCACAGTATCTCATCTACTTTTTTTTTTTTTTAATACTGCGACTAATTATGTTTAAATTAAGAAGGAAACAGACAGGAAGAATGTGGGTTGCACAGAATCCTCCTTGTCTCACAGAGACCTGAGATCCCCACCTTCTCCTTTCTTATGCAGCCATCCCTGTATGTATACTGAAATAAATGGCAACAAAGAACACTATGCCTTGCTTAAGAAAAAGCAACTTATGGTTGATAATTGTTTATCAAAAGAACCCTATTCCTTCACTCCTGCAGCACTGGGTTTGCAGGCCAGGTCACACGTGGTTATTATGACTACCTGCATTTGGGGAAGAAAAGGGTACGGACAAACAATCAACAGCATAAAAAGAGCCACAACAGAGTGAGTTGCTGTTCTTCAGCCGAGCTGTGGTCCTGACTTTAAGGTGTTTTTGTGGCACATTAGGAACACAATTAAAACACGCTATCCTAAGTCACTGTGAATTTGGTAACTTGTTGATGTCTGTCCATGCTCATAGTCATTTATTTCCGTGATCTTTGCTTCATACTGTGAACTATTAATGCACATAAATGGATGCAAAACAAGGTTGGGATTTAACCTGAATGTTATTAATCAGAAGCAGCTAAGAGCTAACTATGACATTTTGCTTTAAATAAAGGATGAGCCTGAATTTTTCTACTTGACATGTTAAATTTCAAAAACACACGAACATTATTTTAGAATATATATATATGTATGTATATATATAAAAAAAATCCCCCACAAACCTTACTTACTCTTACTGGAGGCCTGTAAGGGTCTGACACCTATGGAAAGAACACAGAAATAAAACAATCAGCCTTTCTAAAACTAGCCAATATACAGAAAGGTGGGGAACTTCCTTCCTCTGAACAAGCAAAAGCATTTATAAAGCAATGTTCCAGAGAAGTCCCCTGAGACGCAGGAAACCCAAAAGGCTTAAAGGAGGCTTAAAACTTCTCTTTCATTCCTTGCACTAAACTCAGCAGAATTTTATGATAAACAAAGCAGTTTCATGCCAGCAACTGAACAGTGCCCGTGCTTTTCTGAACCTCATAATCATTCTGAAATGGACTGTGTAAAACCTACTACCCTCCAAGCAGAGCTTAGGGAAAAGACCCCAAAGGGGTTTCCTGCCCCATTTCCCTTTAATTTTGTTTAAACAAGTCAATCAAACTCCTTGTATTCACACACTGGTGGAGGCTACTGTTGTCTCACCAGAAAAAGAAATGTGTGTCCTGACTGCACATTCAAAGTCCAGAAGGCCAGTTTTTTCATCAAATGCTCTCTCCTTTCCTTCTAAGCTATCCCTGTGCTCACTGCAACTCCAGACAAGCTCAAAGAAAGGTTATATATTGTTGCCTACCCCCGGAGTCTTCTGCAGAAGAGTGTGGTGGACTGTGCCTGGTCTGCCTGCTACATCAATAGGGTTTGAAGTCTGAAAGACAAGAACAGAGTGTGAGTAATGCTGTGTGATACCAGCGGTACATTTAACATCTCTATCTGATGTTAATGGCATTAATTAGTCCATGTTTGTACTGTGCTTTGAACATGCTAAATGTTATCTCTTACTGACAGCCAACAGCATTTAACCACTGTGTCATCTATTATTATTTAGTAGCAGTAATAGTATTACAGCAGCACCTCTAAGCCCCAGTTGAAATCACAATCCCATTGTGCTCAGCATGTGTAAATGGATGGGAAGAGACAGCCCCTGCCTCCCAAAGCTTGTTCTTTAGACAAAACAGGCAGAGAGCAGGAGAGGAAACAAGAGAAGTGGACTGATTTTCCCAGTGTTTCAGGCAGCAGTTGGTATCAGAGTCAGGAACAGAGCATCTCAGGTGTTCCTGTCTAATATCTCAAGTACTGCACTGTGGTCCCTCTCCGACTGGGGCTAGGCAATACAATAGTTAAAACAGCAACAGTCCATCTATTTGGCTTGACAAGGCACAATGAGAAACCTTAGAAGGTGCTTGTGGGTCTTTTATAGCTTTGCGTTGTTTATCCCATCATTTTCCAGCAAGAATTAAACACCTCATTGAACAAATCCCTGATCCTCCTCCTCCTCCGGATCCCACCTGTTGCCTTCTTCTCGCTGATCCCCAAGAACTCATTCGTTTTCTCATTCTGGAAGTCATCAGTCTTCCACTCATGGTGCAATTGCACCTGGTGCTGCCAAACAGCTGAGTGCAAAGGGGCTAAACCTAATTCCCCCACTTGTATTTTAGTCCGAATTGCAACAGATTGCAAACGGTCACACTGCACGAGGATTGAGTAAAACGATGGGTGTGGGGGAAAAGATTGGTTTTAATTTGTCTAAGGCTACATAACTTCCAGATTCATTAAAAGGAGCATTCTCATGTACGTGGGTAAGTCAACAACCCCCCCAGGCAGATCTGTGCTCTCAGGGTCTGACAGCTGAGGTATATATAAGGTGGCAAATAAGTTACAGCTATCATACAGACAAGACTTTTAAGATCACAACATGTTAATGGCATGGTGTCATCCTGTCCACTTATTCCCTGGAGAAAGATGTAAATGTTTCCTCCGGCAAAGTAAACCGAATCCTTCTGACCTTTTCAAGTCCTTCTCTTGTGAGAAACGGCCTTTGGGAAACTCACTGAGCAGTTTACCGTCAGCCTGGATTTATGTGCGGTGGATTTACACGCGCAGCTGTAGGCAACGGACACGGGAAGGGGAAAACAAAACCAAGGCCTCTGCTTTGGAAGGCAAGGAGTGCAGGGTTCAGCGTGCCAAAACCAAAGCATCGGGTGTGTAGCGATTATGGAGGCTTTACTCAAACAGCCTGGGAGGGAGCGAGAATGGAAAATGGTGCAGGAACAAGGGCTGGAGTGGCTTTGTCCAGCAGCTCAGCTCCGTCTCCTCTTAAGAAAACGGAAAAACATGTGCCAAAGTGGTGGCAGATCCATTTTGCAACCTATTCTTTCTTTTTTGAAGGTTAGATTCCATGTAAATATGGCACTGCCTAGAGCTGGAGTGGTGTTAGTGATTAACCATGGTATCAGAGTGCGACCTTGTGATGTTTAACCTCAAACTAGCAACTGTTGTATGTATGTATCATTAAAAATAAATTAAAAGCTAGTTTTATTACGGCACTTAGAACTGTTAAAAAATGTAAAGACTCTGTGATCGCTTTTTCTTTCTCGCTGTGCAACTGTTTCTCTTTGGTCTAATGTTTTTTTTTACAGTAAGATGGTATCTATAAGGCACTGTAATGAAGATGGAAACCAAAAGAGCACACTATCAGTACATCAGAAGCTCCTCATTAAGAGCAGCTTTATAACAAAACCGAGCCCTATTTCAACGCAAGCAAAATTTTGCCAGTTCCACCTTATTTGTGCAGTTCCTTTTCTTGTGAAGAGCTGAGATCCTGACAGCCTGGGGTCCGCAGGGACCCCCTGGCATTCTTCACAAGAACGGCAACAATTAACTTTGGCAGACAGACTCCATCAAGAAATAGCGACACTCTGTCCCTTCTGCTCCCTCTGCTTAGGTGTAACTGTTATTGTCATGCCTGTATCCATTGCACGCAGAATCCGTGTTGAAAAAAGCCCTTTTGAAGGCTTGGCGACTTGCAGTGTGTCTAGAAAATAAAAATCTGAGGCATTTGATGGGCACTGAGGAAATATTGTAGGTTCCATTTAAAAAATGAAATTAAGTGGAAGGGTTGCATGAGGGCCTTATTTGCAGTGGTGCCTAATTACTGACTTCCACCAACACCAGCAGGGCTGCTAGGTAAGTATACAGCCCTGTGCAGCGTGGCTACAGAAATGACTTCCAAAGGCAACCAGGAAAAACATGGGTACAGTGCTGGTTCCTAAAGACTCCCAACACAGCAGCAGAGTTCTAGGGAGATACAGTTTGAAATAAGGAAATTTAAAAGCATGTAAGGAAGCCAAACACACCACCTTACAAATGGAGTAAATGCTCTTTTTTTTTAAAATGCTATATATCTATTGTGTTTGGATGTATTTAATTCTTTTCACACATTTAAATATATTTAATAAAATGAATACATTTGAGAGGGAAAAAAACCCTGCACACTTCACTGAAAATGTGGTTATCATGGCAACATTTCCAAATGCCAATCAGTGCTAGTTGTAATGACATGTTGCAGTGGCAGTGCACCTTTCAAACACACTAACTCAAAGGAGCTCGCAGGCATTAATCAACCCTTATAAAATCCACTGCAGGGTAATTTTATAGAGGAGGAAGCTGCGGAACACGAGATTTAAGCAACTTGCCCAAGGTCAGACAGTGTTGGAGCTAGGGATGAAAATTCAGCTCCTTCAAACTACTCTACCCACATAAAACAGTTTCTCCCTATTGTTCCCGCACTTGTACAATAGATCTCTCATTTTTACTGGGAGAAAACCTGATGCATCCGTTGTATCTTTTGCAATCTCGATCTATTAATTTATAACATGATTTGGGACTCATCTGACTATATTAGCTGTAAATATTTCAATCAAATAATGCATTTGCCTGTATGTATCTCCTCCAGTTTCAGCTGACCTCCCAAGTGAACCCTTATGTCTTTTTCCCATGAGCAGCCGCTAGTGCCAAGAGCAAATGTGCATTAGTGTTGGCTGCTCAGTGCAGAGGATGCTCACAGATCTGTGGGGTGATCGCTTCCAACCCTACGTTCCACTTCTGCTAGTTAAATCATGTGCTATAAAATCACCAGAGACACAACTCTGAATACAGTTTCGCTCCCGGCAAAAGAACAAAGCCTGCAGAAGAAGAAGTTTGTACCTTCGGTTGAAATGCTCCCTGAAGTGACCCAAAGGGACCTGAATGTGGAAGCATGGGTGGCATTCCAGGCATTGCTGGAGGATAGGTTGGAAAGAACTACAAAAGAAAAAGAGATGCTTATGTCACAGGACAACTTGAACAATAACGGAGGTAGGTGCCAAGCTTGGCACCGGCAAAAGTAGCACTGTGTCAAATGAGTGCCACAGTGAAAATGTACACTAAATTTGCATTTTTTTTTAAGAGCAAAGCCAAAACTTTGAAAAATGTGCTTGTCTGATGGATTTTCTTGATAATGCATTTTCCTTGAAAATAACTAACCAAGTGTGCCTTTAGGACTGGTGGAACTATTGTGGGAAGCATAGAGCATTCACCATTCTAAGAGGAATTGGAATAATTTGGTTTTGTGTTCATTTTTGGTTAACTGTGCATTTTTCTGCAGTAGCAAACGTATCAATCCTGATTTGAAATGTGACCTGTTTTCACATTCAAAGCAAAAAAAGAACCACAAGATGCTGTATTACACACTAACTACAGGTAACATGCACACCACCTTGTAGTTGTGTGGGCCGGGTTAAGTTTGCTTAGGTCCCTCCTGAGCACATACAGCAGTTTTACAGGTCCCAGAACATATAGAGTTTTTTGTGCGTTGGAGCAGAGGGAGGAAGAAACCACCAGTCTGACTTACTCCTGTGACCTGAGCAAAATCTTGTGAAAGAGCCATGCACGTCGGGCTGCTGCACTGTGAGAAGCACCAGTGGCAAAGACACTGCGGGGACCGCGGGCTTAGCAATTCCTGCGCATTCGCTGCCATCCCAGGCACAGCAAAACAGAGCCGCGGCAAAAACGCAGGAGACAAAGGTTTTTTAAAAAAAAAAAAACCCAAAGAAAATTTTCTATCTTAAAAAAATAAAACTGAGACCGAAAAAGAGCTTTAGGAATGAATAAATCGAAACACTACCCAACAATTCAAAACAAGCAAAAGAAGTGCAAGCAGAACCAGTAACAGACACCACCTAGAAACGTAGAGCACTCACGTTGGAATGTCGAAAGTAAGGGTTGTCTAATTTGGGAGCGTACTTGTCAAACTGGAAAGAAAAGAGAGAAAAAAAGGAAACAGGTGAGTATGTTTTCCATAACACAGGACACAGCAGGCTTTTCAACACAGACAAATAATCATGGCCCATCTGTACAACATTTAACACAGCAGAACTGACTGATTATTCTGTATTTGTTCACGAGGGAGCTAATTCCCAGTGCAACTAGAGGTGGGAAGCTCCAGGCCCCCAGCCTGCTCTGGGTGCTATCGAGCCTTGCCGCAGGCTACCCGGGCTCAGCTAGATCACAGACTGGAAGGTGGAGAAAGCCACAGTTTCTAACACGGGGTGGTTGAATCCCTGCTCTCCATTTCCTGGCATCCTGGAAGAGGAAGGATCTGTTTTGGAAGGGGCTTAATGGCTTTAGATGCACAAATCTCTCTTCTAAAAGAGAGTGCTCTGCAGGGAAAAGGTGACTCTTAGACCTCTTCCTTTCACGCATGGGGTTTTAACACCTTCACACATGCAGTCTGTGAGCCCTACTTATTTTTATTGCCATTTGTCCTGTACCACCTTGGAAGCAAAACCAAAGCATGTATACATTGCATTTTAGAACAATCTGTATATTCTGCCGAGCAGGAAGGAGAGGGGAAGTGGGCAGGGAAGGGAGTTCTAGGATCCCACCAAAAGCTGCTTGTTTGGCAAGTCAGCTGCTGTTCCACACTCCTCTATGTGCAGCAGAGTGGATTTGTAATTTCATTAATTACAGTTATTACTGGAGCCATGTCCCCTCCAGTGTAAATACCATAAATTACTAAACACATGCAGCTGTAAATTTCAACGCTCTTCTCTGGTGCTGGGATTAACAGACCTGATCTAGTGGAATATAAGAGGACGTGAGCAGACTATAACAAAAGAGCCTTGCAAACTGTTTTTGCTGTGACGGCGGCCGTCACCAGGGCGCGGGTGGGAGGCAGGGAGCTCTTAGCCGCATCAGGTATCAGGATTCTTAAATAACACAGCGGGTTTCTGAGAAGAATTTCAAGGTTGTTTTCCACAGACCAAGAAAAGAGGGGAAGGTGTTCACACATGAGTACATTGAGCAAACACCTGGGGCTGGACTTGGGGCGGATGGCATTACTTTGATTGTTTTGCTGCTAAGCAGATTACAACCCAACAATGTCATCAAGCAATCAGCAGTGGGAAAGAGAAGTCTCAAAATACTATTTTCCTTGAGTTCTCAGTAGTTCTTCCCAAATGCTGCTTTTACTGTTACTCCCTGCTTTTGCTAATCCTAGCAGAAAAGCACTGTTTTGATACAGTGTGAAACTGAGAAGGGAAAAAAAAGCTGAATCTTGTTCTTTCAACCCAACAAAATAATTGCCAGAAACGGGGAGCGAGCGCATTTTCAAGCCCTGACAAAATCCATTTGCGCCAGATCTCTAACAATTTTCTAACAGCTGCAGCAAAGTCCCATTGTGTTACAAGCAACTCCAATGAAAAAACGCTACAGCGTATTACACGGCTGGGAGGATGTCTCCCTCAAGAAGAACCAGCCACACACAAATGAGCGCCCGTTGATGTAATCAAATAATAAATGCCAAAATCAATATAGATTTGGGAATTAGGAGGAAGAGGGACAAAACTCTAATCAAACAGAACAGATCCTGTATTCCGGTGAGAGCTCCCAGCAAGCGAGTACAACATGTCCCGGAACAGACGAGTGGTGGCCCAGGAACCCACGAGGGGTCTGCGCTTTGTGCCGGAGGGTCCCGGTTTTGTGGAGCCCTTGTTTGTGTGATTTGGTGTGTCATGGCATTGAGCTGGTGTGGCTCTGAGGAGGGGGTGATGGGAATATGCCGAAGGACACACAAAAAGGGGAACTAGAGGGGCTCGGGGGTCTCGAGGAGACGGTATTGGCGGCTCAGCTGCAGCATGGGGGAAGCCGGAGCCTTGGTGTGGTGGCTGTGGACGGAAAGGGGGTCCCTCGGGAGTGCAGGGTCTGTCTCTCCGGGCCCCTGTCCAAGGACAAGGACCGCACGCCTGTCTGAAATGAAGAGGACTGCTTTTTGACAGAGTGGGTTAGGCTTTTTGACCAGAGACGCTCTACTTATCCTCACATTTTGGGCTGGGGTACGCACCATGGGAGGTGCAGAGGGCGGCATGAGCGGCGTCTGGGGCAAGCTGGATGGAAAAGGAGTGAATGTGTGCTGGTGGGTGTGTTGGTGCTGATGCGTGTGTTGGTGCTGGTGAAACTCCGCTCTCAGCAGCGGCACCGGGCCAAGTGAGGCAGCGGCCCGGTCCGAACTCTGAACCAAAAACCGGTTGTTCAGCTCTTGCCTGAGCAGTTCGTGATCTAGAGGAGAGAGAGAGAGAAAAAAAAAAGACACAGAGGCCCGTGGGCCCGTGAGTTCCACAAAGACGGAGGAGAAAGAGTCAATATTCACCTGGCATTCCCTGTTTCGGCAGGTCATGCTGTGGTGGTTTTCTACGTGAGGACTCATTGGTGGAGGTAAGAGAGAGGCCTGTGACAAAGTACCAATCAGAATCCCCGAATGAGGCTGGCAATACATGATTGGTTGGTTGAATGATATCAACAGGCTGGTATCTAAAGGCAAGAGAGAACACCATGAGTCATCACAGCAGAAAACATCGCGGGGCGGCCGCGCGCGCCCCCCGCCCTCACCTGCGGCCGGGGAGGCTTGGGGCACCTGCGCGCGCTGGAAACGCGCTGGGAACCGCGCGCGCTGCGGCGTTTATAGGCGTAAGAGACCGAGTTTTGGCAAGGTCTGCTCTGCAAGGGGGGAGCGCCGGAGGGGGCGGCTGGTAGCTACCTGCTCGGGCTGGTGGTGTTTCCCAGGGCTTTCTCATGCCATGTACATGTCCCTCCCCTTTCCAAAAATCACCGGGACATACACACACTGTGACCAAGAATATCTGTCCTACAAACTCTGAAGGCTCTTTTACAAATAGCGTTTTTTGCGATTTTAAGTTTGAATATTCATCAATCCTTTCCTCATTTTCTAAGAGGCTGTAGTTGTCATTTTTTTGTCTCCTTCTAGGGGACATTTCCTCCTGTGACGAAACAAGGAGGAAGAAGTAGCATAGGAAGGCTGCAGCCACACGGAAACAAATGCTCTAGCGTATGACACAGGGGCTCCCCTCAGCATCTTTCTCTGGCAGGACCAAATTAGGTCAAATTTACACACTCTTTGGGATGCTGCAAGACACACACATGCATTTTAGAAATGATCCGACTGAGAGTAACAGGAACAAATGAGCATTCCCCAGAAATCCCTGCCGGTATCCATTAAAACCTCTGTAATTTTGCCTAAGAATTATCAAAGGGAATCGGCTTTCAAAACATTAAATGCTTTCTAACCTGACAGCAACCTGGGTTACCAGATGCTGTTGACATACATCCATGCCTGATCCACCTATTTGCTATTGAACTCGCTCAAACCTTGAAGTTCCACCTTTTCCACTGTAACTGCCCTTTTAAAATGCAACAATGAATAAAAGAAGTCCAAAAGAATGGCTGTACTTTAAAGTTTTAGTTCAAAATGCACAAGCATTTCTTGCACTAACATATTTAGAGTAGCATTAGAAATGTTGAAATAACTCTTTTTTAGAAGTGAAATGGTTAAGATCTTTAAAAAGAAGCACCCTGATCTGAAATGTCAAGGCCTCTAGTTGCACTTAGAACTCTTCATCACATTGAAAGTCATTTCTGAAAGCAAATTTGGGAAGCCTAAGTCATTTGCTTTTGAGTTACAACGTGCTGCTAAGAGCACATATTGCGGACTGCCACAATTCATATAATAATTAGTACTAACACATGGATAGAAATAGGGAGCACAAAGTACATACACTTGTGCATTAAAGGCTAAGGCACTGAACCAAAAGGCTCTATAATGAATTTTTTCAGGAGCAGGCAAACAAACAAAAAATATAGTGGAAACACTTAGCACCAACACCTAATATCTACTGAAAATATGAGCACAGTTTCAGCTGTGTGTGTGCTTGCGCAAGTGTTTATGCATTTAAATCTGGCATGCCTTAAGGAAACTGAATCCTTCCGTTTGCATCAAGATAATCCCCTCTTTTGTTTTTTTGGAGGGCGCGATAAAGTGAGCAGGCAGCTTTAAGTGCTCTGATATCCCATTTCTTTAAGAGACTTGAAGTCAGACTGGTGGATCTGCAGCTGCCTTCAGCCCTTAACTCTGTGCCAGAAATTTGGCCGTTGTAAGGGAAAGGCGAAGGCCTGTAGATGTTTGGAGGAGCTGTGTGGCGCTGGAGAGGCGGTTGTTTCACAGCAAGGATGGAATCCCTGCTGCATGAGGGGTTTGGGCAACGTTAGCATCAGATGCCAGCTCTTGTACCCAGTGATGCCTTGTCCAGGGGCCATATATTCAAGTACATGTACTTGAATGCCCAAAAACCCGTGCTCTGTGTGCACACACGTGGTGACCATGGAAGAAACCTTCACATTCAGAAGAGGAGACACAGAATTGGTGTATTGTCTGTGTGTCATACACACGAGCTAGCCCTGGTGCCCCCAAGGGCAGCAGGCCACAGGGGGGTGGCAAGCTTTTGGTTTCCAAAGGAAGAGACACTATCAAAAGTACATTCTTGATTTTCAGAGAACTCAGTTACTAGCATCAGCAAATGCAGTAGCTTTGAGCTCTGCTTCTGCTCTTGGGAACATGGACAAAAGTGCCAAGGGGAATTTAAAGGAAGAACACTTTTTCTTCCAAAGAAGGAGAAAAACAAGATGAATAAAAGGAGACCTCAAAAGGCCATACCCTCTCTTGAGTGCCTCCTCTACGCTGGTGCTTTCATTGAGAGCACATGTGCACTCAAACAACACAGCCAGGATTATGCTGCTAGCAGCAGTTGGATCCCGGCTCTCCAGGGTTCCTCGGCAATATTGTTTGCTTTTAAGAAACTTATGTGAATGACAACAGAAGCTCCTGGCTATGCAGCGCGCTCTGTATTGATTTTATGATGTGTCAGTTTGCAGGCATTTCATATAATGCAGACAAGAGGCATTTCACTGTCTGCAGGATTAGACGCCCAGACCTTTTGCTCCACTAACTCAGGCCTCTCCTGCTTCTACGGCAGGAAAAATCCTTTTAGTAGCAGCAAGACTTTTACCGTTTCCTGGCAAGCTGCTGAATGTGAATAGGTCACTTGATCTTGCACCTCCTGAAGTTAATGGTAAAAACACACTTGCTTTCAGTGCCTGCAATATCATGCTTTTAGTGAGCACATTGCTATTTCCTTTTGCACTGCTTTCAACGTCTCCATCACAGTAGTTCTTTGCCTTAAACAGGGGAAGCAATGAATAGGTCCCCCACAGTGCTGCCAACATCTTCCCAGCCATGTGGTTGAAATTCTAGATAGTGCCAGGCCCCGTGAAAGCCAGCAGCTTTGGCCTATGTGGTCCTGCTTCTGGCTAGGAGCCCACAGCACTTTTTTTTTTTTTGGTCTATCATCATTCTGAAAGCTCACTTTGGACCAATTCATATTTCTTCTTTCCTTTATAGGAGCAGTTCTAAATAATGGGACATTATTTAGCTCCCAGAAGAAAAAAAAGGGGACGCAAGGTCATCAGAATTTTCAAGAGCAAATCTGCCCTCTCCTTTAACTGGCTTCGGAGGAAGCAGAAGGGTACATTTTTTACAGAATGCTTGTCCTGTTTAATCCCTGCTGAGTTAGTTGTAGAGTCAAATGCCAGATCAAAAGGAGGCCCCAGCAAGAGAAAGTTACAGGGAAGTCTCCAGCTGCCAGGGTCTCTTCTAGGAACAGCTGTAGGTTAATGGATAAGCCATAAAAATGGCATTTAGGGCAGAAGTGACAATAGAATGGGGACCAGGGTGAACAAAGGAAACTTTCTAAAAGGATGCAAAGATAATAAGGGCTCAACAGCAGAGCTTGTCAGCTGAGCTGTCCCTGCCTCCTAGAGAAAGGCCAGGCAGCCAGGGACACTCAGAGAGCCTGTGCTCCTGCAGGCACGGAGGATCCCGCTCTGCCGATGGGATGTGCTGCTTGCTGAAGGATCAGCCCAGCGGAAAGGCCTTAGAGGGGCTTCTTATGTGTCCTTCAATTCAAGTGATTCTTTGAGCCCATCAGAAGCAGCTTCAGGTCAGTTCTAATAGCAGCGACTTCATCAGGGCGAGGAGAAAGAAGGGGAGAATGGCTAATGGGACGTCAGTCCTGTGTTAATCTAAACAAGTCTGAGGACTGGGGAGTCCCACACTGGCCACCTCACACCCTTAAAAGGAGGGTTTTGTTTTAGAAATCCCGTTGAAGAGTTCCCATAGGAAGCTCAGTGCCTACACCTGAATCTCTTGTCTGATCAAGTATGTCCAGGTCTCATAGCTCTCCACTAACACTCCTACAGCTCTAGCACACACTGCCCCAGGGGATGTCTGCATCGCTCTGCTCCACCTGCCTGCCAGCCAGCCCATCTCTCCACATCCTCCAGCGCATGCAAGTGCCACCAGCCTCGGAGGGAAGAGGGGGACCTACCCGCAGGGTGACCAGGTATCACGAGGCTGTTGGTAGGTAACGCTGGTGGAGGTGGCAGCGTGGGTGGGGTGGCGAACATGGCCGGATGGTGCTGGTGTTGGGTCTGCGATCTGAGAGAGAAGTGCGAGGTAGCAAGATTGGAGATGGAGAGGGGCAGAGCCGGGCCGGAGGAATGGTGAGGAGGAATCTGCGGAGACAGCGGGAGGTGCTTCGGGAGGCTGATGCTTGTGGCACTGCTCGCACTGCTGCTCCGGCTGCACGGAGACACACAAGGCAGGGAAGGAGGGGAGAGAGAAAAAGAGAGCCTGTTATAACACACGTCAACATAACGCAAGCACTACACTATCAGAAACAACACAGCTACACAATATTGATCTTCCCAAGCTTATACTTATTTATTTATTTAGGTTGGGATTGAAGAGAGCAACAGATTTTAATGAACTTCCCCTGCAGGAAGAGGCAAGGGTTTGGGTTCTCTTTGATACCTGAGTGGGCTGCAATGCTCAGAGCTGTCTGTGAGCTACTGATGAAGGCCGCAGAGGCAGGTGGATTTTGCACCTTTATTTAGCCTCCGATGAGCCTGCAAATGCCATGTGTGCCCTTGTGACCACAAGCTGCAATTACTGCAGTTCCTTTTTCTGTTACTCTGGGTGGACTGAACTGTGTACTGTGAGTGACTTTGGGACCAATTTCTCTCTGCTACGCTGTGTAATATTCACAAGAGCAACCAAACACACACGATTTAAGGTAATATTTGCATAATAAAGATAGCATCACTGCATTTATTATTATTTATTGTAATTCCCACAATACTAGTATTTGTTGCCATCTGATATATATTGAATAATTTAAAAGTCTTTTAGTCCTTATACTGTGGTGGTGTTTACAAGGTACAACCAAGAGAGAACCTAACCATGATACTGAGAGATACACACTTAGGTGTATTTTGACTCTTGAGCAGCCAAGTACAGGGTTTTATTAGGTTAGTTTTCAAATCTTGATCAATTAATCTACTTCTGGTTTGGGAAACAAGGAACGTTTTCCACCAGCAAAAAGAATATATAGGCTCCAGCTGGTCCAAACTTCTTTAGTTCCAGACTATATTAGCTCCAAACCTTTTTTTTCTAGAAACTCTCCATATCATTTTCATCCATCCTACTTACTGGACAGACAGTTTAAAGGGCAAGGCTAAGCCTCCCACCAGACCTGCACACTTAATAAACGCGTCAAACTGAAGCAGATTTCAGTCTACACGGGAGTGCCTTTCTAATGGGCACAGCATTTTCTAACACAATTAGCCCTCTTCTGGTGCTAGTCTATCAATGAAACGGTGATAACCATGAACAAATCACCTGCGTATTTTCAGTGTAAGACTACATGAATATAAACACGGTGAAGTTATTTAAACTCAAACTACTTTGAATTTCTAAGGCCAGAACTGGCTGGTTCTGAGAGGACAGTGTACAACTCTAGCAGAAACTCAATCTAAAAGAACATTATCCCACAGTTATACATGCCTGAATCCCAAAAAGGGAGCATTTACCACTATGTTTCAAATGCAACTACCCACCACTGCTGTTAAAGCCAGCTTGTGCAGCTGGCCCCAAAGATACAATATCCAAAACATGGAGCATCTCACCCAGAAATGGAGAGCGCTCTTGGCTTGCTTCCCCACTACCCCTGTGCCTTTTGAAACAAGCTCTATCCTGGCAATAGTATAAAAAAAAAGAGACAGGTGTCCCTGCTGCCTACCTGATATTATTGAGTCCGTTGTGGCCCACCTGGTGATGCACTTGGTAGTTGAGAGGTGGAGGGATGTGACTCTGAGGCTGGCTCCGAAGCTCAGGTATTAACTGAGGCTGAGACTGCGGCCGAGGCTGTGGCTGTGACTGCGGCCGCGGCTGCGGCTGTGGCGTGAGCCTGGGTGGTGCTGGTGCTGGAATCACGGGCTCCTTCTTCAGCAGCGGGCTCGCTCGGGCGCTCGACGTGGGCGCCGAGGACGTGGAAGTCACGACGGCCGCTACCGGCTGGGGGCTGGGGATCGGCAGGGCGAAGGGCACGTCGGTGCTCAGCTCCCGGCTCCGCTCTAGCCCAGACACCTTTGGGACATTGGCTGCTTTTGCTTCTGGCTTGTCATTCAAGGTGGGACCTTACAGGGGGAGAAGAAAAAACACAAAGCGCGTGCTGAAAGGCCTGGGTTTGTCTCCCTGCATGGCAGAACATATTCCCAAAAAACAAGTAGTCATGTTTCAGCTCGTGGGAGCCTCGTGCGAGCACTGCTGCTGCAGGACGGACGTGTGTCTGTGCGTCTGTCCTTCTGCTCTCCTTGACTGGCCAATCCATGGTACTTCGTTAGCATGCACAGGGAATACTCAGTTGTCACCAAATGAATGCATGCTACAAAGAACATACCTCCAACTTCTACAGAGCCCCAAGGCTACATACAGTAGGAGTGTGAACATGTCTCGAGTTACTGTGGCAGTGTTTCCTGCTCAATTTAAGTTTTAAGGCTCCATAATAAATTTGTGAACATAAGCTGGGTCACTAAGTCATTTCATTTTCTCAGCTGTCATCCACTGTAATGTACATTATGTTTATGCTCTGCTGCAAGCTAAAACATGCCATGACCCTTAAAGCAGTAGAAAGGGTTAAATGGCTAGAAAGGAAATGGGAAAAGGGAGGAAAGAAGGGAGATTTCAAATCTAGCAGTATCCAAAAGGCCAAAGACAAGTGAAAGGACCTACATGAACATGATTCAGTTCACAGCATCCCTTTCAATATTATCAGTGTACAACTAACCACAAGCAAAACTGTCCATGGGTTATGAAAATTAGTGTTCACTCGTTTCATGTGCATACTGAGGTTCTCCATGACATTTCCTACCCAGCCCCTTTCATAATCCACCAGGATGTGCTGGGGGTTTGCTTGTTTTAAGTCGGCTCTTACAGCCATGCGGGAGATGCTACCTACACACATCAGCCTGCTCACAACACCCGCGTGTACAGATCCCACCTCGGAAATCTTCCTGCCTCATCAAAGGACTCCGGCAGTTCCTGAAGGAGGAGGTGTGGAAATAGCAGAGCGCAGCGGCGCGAGCTAATTCTGGCGCCGCACACGGACCGACCGGCCCCGCGCGCGCAGCCTCCACGGGGACAGCTTGGCTGCTGAGAGGGTTTCCGTGGCCTCAGGGGCCACGAAACCAGAGGAAGGCAGCGATGAGACAAACCCACTATCACACCAGCTCTTCCTCTGTTCAGAAAAAAAAAAATCCTGGAGATGGCATCTCCTGCCTTAATATCAAAGTCATCGTCATGTACTGCTCCGGGCTCTGCCTGCACCAGGACCATTGCATTGATTCCATTGTAAGGACACATACATGCATGTAACACACATATTCAGAATGCGGGATGGGGAGGAATGGAAATATACGGGCTATATTCATCATCTGAAGAAGTCAAAAGGTTTGTGGCTCAAGCCCACAAGCAACTTGAACAGATTTCCAAGCACCAGCACTTTGGCTGGAAGCAGGCACAACTAGCCCTGCACTTTCAAGCACTGTACAAGGGGTACAAGCTTAACACAACATCTGCAAGTCCTAAATTATTCGCTACATCAAGTACAAGGCTAACTCTGGTTTCACTGAATCCCTTTTTCAAGTATGAGTTCATCTATCATGAGTATCCTCGTTTTGAAGATGCAGCTAGACTTGGTTGCAAATTTATTTAGGCTAAGACTTTACGTTTAATATCAAATTCTCATCTCTCCTGTGCAGCTCTGTAAGGCAACCTATGTTCATAAATACTATCTCAGATTCATTGCTAACAATAGAAAAATTGCCATCTACTTTAGTCAGGTCAGGGGTTTGTGCAGTCTGTTTTTCACTGATATTCACAGCTGTAGATTTCACTATTTTTAGGAGCTACCCATTAAAAGCAAATGAGTTTCATTCCTGACCATAGGTTTCCTGAGAACCTATTAGCTCTTTCCATCCAGCAGGCCTCCTCCAACAGAGTTGAACTTCATACCGTGTAATTATAGGCAATGTAATCTAATGGTGTATATTCAAAACACACTGGCACCACAAAAGTTAGTTGAGTAAAAAGTCAATTAGACCCAAAACAAATCAATAACGTCTCGCATTAAAAACAGCTGTTTGACCAGCTTTATGCACAACTATCAATTCCCTGTGGTTTCAGCATTAGTTCTCATTTGCAATATTCTCAAAGCAAAAGCGCGTGGTCCCTTGCTGGCTGAACTGACCCACCAGCTCACTTGTATTCGTTAGTATTAA